CTAAACTTAGTTATCGTGCGTGCGATTAGATACATTTACGTTACCTCACTGCCTTTGTGCCAGATTTCTAACTCTTCAATGAAACGAACGTCGTCCTTTCTGATCTAAGAGCAAGACCGTTACATCCACGCAGAAAGCTGCTTATGAAAACACATGGGACAGGTATCAAGGATCCTGAAAGGAAGGCAAAATATTTTTTAATTGGGCTAAAGTAAAAGTACTCACATAATGGAGACTGTCATAAAACTTATATATATACTCCTTTAACATAAAAGTGTGAATCGTATTCTAACGGGGCACTGTAAAGCGAGTGAGTAGTACTGTAAGGTTAAGTTGATTCACATGACCTCTATTAATAGAATGACATATTTTAGGAATACCTAGGCTTTTGTCCATGTTCAAAATTTTAGTGCCATCAGACAAGATACTCTCAAATAATTTGCACGCACGAACCTCTATAAAATCATTGCTAAAGCCATGCAAACTATTCCAGGTTAAATTCTCACCAATACCTACGTGTGTATGTAAGTACGTACGTGTCCATCATGCTTAGGAAATTCAATTACTGACTCATAGGAAGTCATCAATCATGCATTGGGCATGTCGTGGTGCATAAAATGTCCTGGTCGAACACCAGATACACAAGGAAAAAAAAAAAAAAAAAAAAACAACACACAGAGAAAGAAATGGGCCGTTGTGTTTCGACCATGAAACACAACATTGTCGTGCGCGGCCCTTCTGTGCATATGTCTACCAGCTACTATAGTTGCTGAGCTCATGCTGCTCACCATAGAGCTCGGCAAGTGTCTACGCATGGTTGGCAGGGCGCGAGGCAATACATGGGGCGTGCGCATTACTAGTTGCCCTTTACCCGTGTAAAAACAAGCGCGCAATCTCAGGTATAGGTGCATTATTTCGCGGTGGTTTACTACGCGTTGTCACATGCTATTACCACCGCTGTGGGCGTGTCATTACGCGGTTTAAGCGTAAAAAAGCGCGGTCGCACCCCAAGTATTTACACTCTAGAGCGCTGTTCCGCACAAACATGGTTTGTGCAGTACGCGGTTAGGCCGTGAACGAGGCGGTTTGCTTCGCGAAATACCGCGAGCGTAGAGTGTACGCCGGCGATTGCGGGTGGAGCACGCCGTCGCGTGTTACTACGCGCGAACGCTAAGTCTGTGTAAATTGGCGTGACTTCCCGCTTGAGTGCGTAAAAGCGCGATCTTTCGCAACCATTGCTGTCTGTGCACGCTTTTACACATTATTTTACACGGGTAGCGCTTTCCACTGTACAAGTCCTATTCAAAGAAAGGGAAACCAAGTACTCTCCCATCATGATAATATTGTTTCCAGGCACAATTAAAAAGTGACTCTCTAAAAATGCGCACACACCACCTCAATGTTAATTTTTTGGACTTCCACTCTCTAAAGTTTGTATATAATATAACTGAGCACTCCTCTACCATGGAAATTTTTCCAGGCACCCATTTAGCCCTCTGATAATTTGTATTGCAAATTACGTAGGAGTCAAAAAAACGTTTCCAATTTCGTTCCGTTCCGTTTGGTTGACCTTCCGTTCCCTACTGAAACGCCATTCATTTACCGTCGGAATTTGTTCCGTTCCGTTTAGAATCGTTGCCGTACATGCGTTCGCGTGAGGGCCGTCATTCGCGAGATGCAAAGGCCTCACTGTGAAGATATTTCTTCTAGCATCTGCGTGGGTACTGCCTTCTCGTTTCTTAGCGTTTGCAACCTTGTTGTTTTGCTCCCCCGCTAGCGAGTCTCTATCGCGTTTGCGGAGGGCGTGTCACACGGAATTCACGACTGAATGGAAACTGAACGGAAACAGAATGGAAACGGAACGGAACGAGTGAATAGTGAATAGCAAACGGAAAGAAACAGAACGAAATTGGAAACGTTTTTTTTACTCCTATGTACAGGGTTCTGCCTACGATGGTCAGCGGTGGTCGCATGCGACCACCGCCGTATGATCCCGACCACTCCTAAAATAAAAGACGGGGCTGGTGCCTTCCGCCCGTATAGTACGCATCTAAGAGCGATGAATGAATATCTGCAACGGAAACGTGGCCTCCCTGCGGCTCTAAGATGACACTTGGCTTTCTAACACTCGAAGAACGAATCTGGGCTTCGTATGCGCGCCTACACTAAGTATAAACGTGCAAACAAAAAGGCACGCGCGAACGAAAACGCGTTAATTCCGCGCATGCGCATTTACGCGCGCAATGAAGGACTGTTTACCTAGCTAAAGTCAATAATGGCCACCACTAATTTAATCCTGGGCAGAACCCTGTATGTACCTAGGGAAGAATTTACGGTCTTAGGCACAAGGCTCTCTATTTATGAGTTCAGAATCCATCAAAAATAAGAGGTCGAAATGTTAAGCCTACAAGGTACGAGAACACATTTTCTCCATGTGAAAACACTTTCATGAACCTGCCTTTCACTAATTAAATAGCGAACACATTATATCTTGGATATTGCACTAAACAAGCCTCAAATGCTTCTAGCTTACTTGAGCTCACTCAACTACTCAGCTAAAAACGTCAAAGTGTAGTCAACAGATGAATGTATGTGAGAAAAGTTTGGTTTTTGCACACACTCTAGTAGAAGTCCTAGGAAAAAAATATCAATTGCCGGCAAAAGTCAATGCACACATTTTTCCAGTGCCACAAAAATGTAAAGAAAAGCCAGTTCACCTTGTAAATGCAGTTTCAACAGAAGATATTCCAGATGAGCATTGCTGGTGAAGAAAGCTGAGTATCTGGCAACCTTGAAGCTAAAAAACAGTACAGCTCATACCACTAAGTACGGTAGTACATAGTATGACACAGGTTGTCCTGCATTATGCCCATACATTTGAGATTTTAATGTTTCACTTTCAGTTTCAATCAGGTCCAACATTTGACACATCAGACCATATGGTCACAAAGAGCATGTATGGCTTAAATCGCATAATCGGTCCTTGATTTATTCAAGAAAGTTAGTTTTCAAAATTCTCCTTCTTCTTGTCGTTGTTGTTGTTGTTGTTCAGTTTAGACATGCGTATCTCAAAAGACACTTAAGATATGGAGATGAAACTTTGCAAAAAGATTGGAATCCATCACAGGTCGTGCAAGAGCATTTATATTTCTTCGTAAACAAAAAACAACAGGCAATACATTACGATAGAGACAAACAAAGTGTGATAACTAATACCCAGAGTGATAAAACTTCGTACACATATACAACCCATCATCAGTAACAACATGTAAACATTACCAGTTTGTAAACAACAACAAACAGCCACAGGCAATAAACTGTGTTTGTCCCTATAACTTGCTTATGGTTGGTCATCTAACAATGAAACTTGGTACACTGATGTACCATGATAAGAGTTCATCGAAACAGAAATTACAAGTTTGTAAACAACAACAAACAGCCTCAGGCAATAAAAACTTATAAATGGTGTTTGTGCCGCTAACATGCATATGGTTGGTCGTCTCACAATGAAACTTGGTGCACTGATGTAATGTGAATGACGACAAAACGTCTGAGGCGATAACAGGCCACTAACGTTACTTTTTTATGGGCTTATGCCCAAAATATATTGCACACCATGCATGTGAATGCAGTAAAAAAGGAAAGGAGACAAGTAATAAAAAAATTCTTCGAATTAAAAAGTAATATAGGGATGCCATAAAAAGCTAGGAGGCAAGACAGGGATGACCTAGTATGCAGTAGTACAATGGATGATGGCTACACTCTTTGAACTGACATAGCTTGCTCGTGTAAAATTTCCTCCACACAAGCCTTACATTGTCGCCACCATTACTGTTTGTTTAGTGAAGTGCGAGGACAATGGTGAAAGGATTCTGTATGTAGTAAGATGGCCATGAATGCAGCATTGTAAAACTGGTTAGTTCAGCAAATGATAGACTTCACACAATGCAGTCACTACTGAAAACCGAGCAGATGGTACCTGTCTAATGGGCTTATGAAATAAATCATAGCTGTGCATCATACAAGCAAGCACACTCATACACCTTGCGACAATAGAGGGCTTGTTTGGAGGAAATTTTACACGAGCAAGTGATGTCAGTTCAAAGTATGTAGCCATCATCCATTATACTACTGCATATTCCAAACTTTTTCAATTCGAAGATTTTTTATTTACTTTTAGAATATAACATGACACCACAACAACAAAAACATAACTATACTCATTAAATGGCAACCAAACAGAGCTGTATTAACTTCAATTGGCATTTGTGTCTGTACTTGAGCCATCTATTGACAGGTTTGAGGAAAACAAGATGTGAAAGAGCTAATAAGGAAACGAACTACCATAGTCTAGTTCTCACCCCCTTCTTGTCTGCATATGCATGTGGGAGAGGAAAGGAGGGTCTGGTATATATATTATATACACACATATATAATATATATATATATATATGTGTGTGTGTGTGCTTTACCCTAGCGCGGATCCTCGACTGGAATGCGAAAGAAGGTGTTAGAAGTTAAGAACAACTAGCTTCGTTAGCGGGTCAGCAAGCTGTCCCAACTCACAGACATCGAATCAGTATGGTGATAGCTACCTTAAGGTAGTCCTGTAATCCCTCAAGCGGCAATATGAGTCCTTTCGCGCCGTCAAAACAAGGACTGCTTCCGTCCTTCGTAATTACATCACCATTTTTAGCACTAATAACCTAGTAGACATTCCTGAGCCTAACAACTGTTTAAAGTTTGTAGTTGTACCAAAAGAAGCGTAAAACTTTCATTCTAAATTGCTACAATATACAATACATAAAACATGTAGCTACTAATTTTCTCATGCACTATCAATTGCACAAAGTGGTTTCCAGGACTCGCGGTAGGGTATAGACATTTACAAGACCCGTTCCTCCCACTTCTTCACACATGAGCACAAAAGCAGAGGCTGGAAACCAGACTATAGATCAATCTAGGCAATTTGTGTTGTGTCATAGTTACAGTATTACTGACCTTGTGGTTGTGCACATACTTCAAACACGAATCAAGAGCAGGCAGTAACAGCTGAAAATCCTCAAACTCATGTTGAATATGAGAAATAGGAAGATCTGGCTGCATCATACACTAAAAAATCATGTATTCAACACATTTAAAAAATGACTAAACTTCACAGTATGCATTATATGTGATTACACCCTTTGGAGTTTATATACCTGCGTTAGGAGAGGGCCGATAAACCGAAAAAACATTACAGTCTAAATTGGAATGGTCACACAAAGACTTTGAGCCCTAGTGCTATCGCTGCGACCTGAGTATTATTATTGTGCACTTTTGCGGGAGCGAATAATTTTAAGACAGCACGCTAACTACATGTGCAACAATGTGCGTAATACGCAGTATAAAGCCTCTTAAAAAGTTATGTGCAGAGACATGTAACTGTGTTGGCTGCGTTGGAAGTATGTGTTAAACCCGTACTGTACCTTTTGCTCCACATCCACTAGCTTCTTTCTGTATGAATCAAGAACCTTATCAAACCCATATGCCATCGCTTTGTGGTAGAGGTTCCCTTCATCTACAAATAATGAGTCATTGGTGAACGTCACAAGCGCTAAATAAATATACAGTATAGCTACAGACAGGTTACACAGGAGTTTATGCCCAACTACTCCTGAGTGAATGTGGGTACAGTTTCCCGTATGTAACAACAATTATACTCATCAGTAAGTGTATACACAGCTCAACGCAACAGTGATAAATTGCACAAAGAGCGCTAAGATGGAATTGCTGTCTGAATGCCGATGACCGCGTAATGGCTGTCTAAACACATAAAAAAAACAAGATCGGTTCTTTGTCAAAATGCATCTATGGTAATTCAGTGGAGTCCCTGCCACACTGCACAACTGAAGGCCTTACAAGCCCACGTGGTTTTCGTCATCTTTCACAAATCTTGTTCTCCTGGCTTGCTTCACGGTCTTGTATTACCCACGTTACTTACAATGTCAAAGCGTCCAACACTCTCTACCCGAATGTATCTGTGCCTAAACGGTGTCCATTCAACGAGATAGCTCACATGACGTTTATAATATACCAGGCCCTCTCTCAGCTTAACTCTTGGGGTTAAAGCTCATATACACAACTGTGCGCCGAGAGATAGGGCATGGGAACGAGGCTACTCAGATAGCACTGTTGCCCATCAAACCACAGTGATTGTATTTTTGTTTATGCAAAGTGTAGGTGCAATCATGGATGCAGAAGGCCCGCATAAACAATATGGTTGCTGTACAGGTGCACTGTCTCATCACTCATCACTTTTTGCTTTGGGCACACCCGTTCGGCAAAGATTCACGACGAGCGAATGTACATGTTCTCATGAAGAGTACACAGACAAATCTGGGCCAGTCCCAAAGGGTCTACATAGCCAAGAAAGCACTATATTTTTTGGAGGGTGAGGACAAGGGCAAATTCCACTTCCAAGAAATTTACGGGCCTTCCTAAAAACAACTGTCACAAGGAGCTTGGGTTACAAACGATGCTAAAAGCTTTACCTGCTACACTTGTTCCGCCCGTCATCTTAGTTTCAACAATAAATACTACCAACTTTCCTTTTCTCAGATTTGGAAGGCCTGACTCCCCCCCCTCTCCCCCGAGTACAAAAGCAGCTACAGTGCAAAGTGTTACAAAGAGAGTAGAATGGTCACTTTTTAATTAAGCAATCCACACTGGTGACATATTACAATGATCCTCAATCATTGCTGATTAATGTGGCAAGCATCATGTGAGGTCATGTGATAACAACCTACAGCAGTTCGGCAGCTCAGAGGAAGTGAACTAAGGTGGACATAACACAGGTGAGCAGTAACCTGTTAATGGATAACCTAGACGCTGCTTAGTAGATACTGTAGTAGTAGCTACGTTTGGTTGTGAAGGCTGTCATTTGAACCGTCCGCGCTAGATCCAACTTTAAGGTAAAAGGTCAGCATGGCGCAAGCAGGGTTTATGATGTCCCGTTCAAATGTATTGAGTGATAGGGAGCGACCATGGCGGACTCTCGCTTTGGCAGAGCCGGGCCCGTTATTGTTATTGTCACGTCACCATCACATGACCGCATATGATCTTTATAAGATTAATCAGCAATGATTGAGGATCATTGTGATACGTCACTTGTGTGAATTGCTACAACACGACTGAGGAAAAGAGTGAAAAGGTTTCCATTCCACTCTGGCACTGTATATCTCTGGAATAAATAGGGCTATCCACACTACTCTTTGAACAAGCACAGCAAAGGATAGACAACACGAAATCTGGTGAAACCTAAATGAAGGGGGGTATAGGGATGGCTCGAAGCACCAAAAAGGAAGAAATGAAAAGCACAGTGCAAAACCCTCGGCGAACTGCACGTGCGCGGTACCGCTAATTGATTGACTGGGCTATTACTATGCGTTTACTCGTGGTCTCCCGCTAGTAGGTCGCGGAGAGTCTGACACGGGCTAGCTACTGTAGTAGATAGCTTGCGGGAGTCGATACACGCCTTCGTTGCGATTGCTTGTGCCTTCAAGATACACAGAACAAGTGGACCCGGTCGAGGTAAGCCTGTGCTAATTAGCATATTGTGTTGTTAACCCTCGGCGCGCATGCGCAGCGAGGGTTACAGTACTTGTTCTGTCCGTCTGTCTGTCTGTCCGTCCGTCCACGTTTTCTGCCACCACGCGCGACAAACAGGTAAAATAGCGACACCAACTGGTTCAACGCTACACCCGCTTCATTTTTAAAATGGCGATTTTTGTAAAAGTGCCGCGTTCAGAAGTTATGGCATGAAAACCAAGTGAACAAGCCAATATACAAATTAGTACAGGCTTACCTCGACCGGGTCCACTTGCTCTGTGTACCTTGGAGGCACAAGAAGTCACAACGAAGGGCGTGTATCGACTCCCGCATGCATCTACTACTGTGGCTAGCCCGTGTCAGACTACTCTACCACGAGTAAACGCATACTACAAATAGCCCCGCCCATCAATTAGCGGTATCGCACATGCGCTGTTCGCCGAGGGTTTGCACTTTAGTGCTTTTCACTCACTTGGTTTTCACACCATAACTTTAGAACGCAGCACTTTTACGAAAATCGCCATTTTTATAATAAAGCCAGTGTAGCGCTGAACCCGTTTGTATCGCTTCTTGGCCACTTCGTTACACGTGGGAGCAGAAAACGTGGTAACAGACGGACAGAGAGACAGACAAAGTACTGTAACCCTCACTGCGCATGCGCGCCGAGGGTTAATAAGTGATCATTACACAGCAAAGATACACAAAGCTACGTACATGACACCATCCCTATTTCAAAGATATAGGGATGGTGTCATGTAGCTTTGTGTACTGTGTAATGAACCCTTCTTCTTGTTCTGTCCTCTTTGGTGTTTCAACCCATCCCTATATCCCTCTTCATTTCGAAGAAATCATTTTCCACTAGTTTCCACTATTTTTTAGCTATGACAACACTGCTTCTTATTATTACAGTTAATCTGTTGTTCATGGATAGACGTTGACCATTGACAAACTAACTTGTTGAAAGCAGTAGCTAATGGCTTGCTGGTGCTGAAGCAGAGGTAGTAGAGACAGACATATTCACCCCATGTTTTTCTCCTACAAGGACGTAATTAGTTTACGGCACATGGTGGCGGTTTCATGGGCAGGCTTTAGTAATCTGAGAAACAAACAATGAAGGCTCATTCGTGTGCGTCTGGCAAGGCCCACGCAACTATACGCAACAGGCAACAATGCACACTCTGCAAAGTTGCTCCCAGTGCAGATCAACGGCAAAACGCACATTAGCTAGTTGGAAATGTGTAGACTTACAGAAGGCACTGGGGCAGCACATGCGATGCTGAGTTAGCAGCAAATGGCATTCTTCAGTGTCTACCGTGGAAGAGTGATCATCTGTACTGACTTACGACAAGAAAAAGTGATCGTTAGATGTCTGTCCAAACCTCCGACCAAACTAGAGACGTTTAGTGGAAAAATAAAATGGTTCCAGTAAGCAGATAGTGGGTTTACTGAAGATGATCAACAATATGCTGACATGAAAATCGTGATATCACGCATAACCGAATTCTCACAAGGAGGACTGAAGGTGCGCACATAAATCTTTGAGCACATGAAGATACTAAACCATGTGATGTAAAGCTCGATACTGGCGCTTAGACTATTGCTAGCCGATTTTGAAGGCTTAGTGAGTGATTTTCGCTAACTTTTGAGGTATTTTGTACATGGATCATGTGAGACTTGACCCGTGCCATCCCTATAAAGAGCGTCTACTGACGCTCCAATTAGCTTGTACCTTTTATAAGGTCAAGTGCAGTGCAGAAAGTTGTCTGTTGTTTCGTGAAGTCATTTAGCTGCTTGTAGTATGTCCCAAGACCAGATAGTCTGTTCAGTATAGCAACTTCACTAGGATGAATGAATGGTAGATCTGTGATTACCTGAAAAAATATTATGCGAAGTAAAGATAGGCTGCTTTATGATCATGTTTCTGAACGTTTAAGTTTCAGATAAAAATATTAGCGCAACAATAATGGTGAGTGTCATCTAGCACTATAATGAAAAGTACTAAGTGCAAACCCTCTGCGCACTAGATGCGCGCATTCACGCCCATACACATGCACGGATCAGCACCGCTAATTGATGGGCTAGGCTACATACATTGTTGATTTCCTTGTGTGGTGCTCCCTTAGCTAGCTAACTCTCTGAGAGTCTGATACGGGGAAGATGGCGTTTTAGGCATCGCGAGACACGACACTCTCCCTTCAGTGTAACTTCCAGTGTCGAAAGTGGTCAAGGTAAGTCAGTGGTAATTTGCACATTGGCTTGTCCACTTGGTTCTCACTCCACAACCTTTGAAAGCAGTAGCTTTATGAAAATCGCCTTTTAAAAACCAAGCCAGTGTAGCAATTAACCCGCTACTATCGCTCTTTGGTCCATTACCTCAGTGTGGTAGTCTCGTGTCCAGACCCCGCCCTCAAGAGAGGAAAAGGGTCTGGTGAATATTGAGCGTTTTCTTGGTTGTGCTGACTCCACAGTCTTACTTTTGAGACACGGAATCAGATTGCAGTATTTGCCACGACCATGAAATATCACATGATGTTATGTAATAGATCGTAATGAAGCTCTGTAGATTCCGCTTGTCCACGAACGAAAACGGGCTTTTCTGCACATGCACTCGAAAATGATGAGTCAACACAACCAAGAAAACGCTCAATAGTCACCAGACCCTTTTCCTCTCTTGAGGGCGGGGTCTGGGGCACGAGACTATCAGTGTGGTGGCAGAAAACGTGGTGACAGACAGACACACACACAGTGAGGGTTATGGTACTTTGTTTGTGGGTCACTCACGAACAAAGTACCATAACCCTCGCCATGCATGCACACGTTTATAGGCCGCCTCATAGTCTATAATGCAAGAGTAGCTACAGACAGACAGACACACAGACCAAGTACTGCAACCCTCGCCGCGCATGTCCACTGGTCAACGTTTACCCTCTCTCCTAAGAACAGTAAGAAAAAGGAGCTAGATTGGAGTAGATAATATTTGACTCCATGGGTTGAATTGTACTATGCCAAGAGAGTGATTTTTATGCCATTTTTTTGATGTTCGGTACTTCGAAGAAAGTTTGTGAAAGAAACAAGGTTTCACAGTGATAAAAAGTGACATAAGATTCAAACTCGGAGCGCTTATCTCCGGAATCTTAATGATATTCAGCCGGCCGTGGATAGCTTCGTTACAAGGCTCCCCCTGTGTAAGAGAAAAGTAGAGGGGTGCGTAACAGGTAGAAACCTTCTAGAACAAGGAAGTTAACAGACACAAGCGTAAACTCAGGAAGTAATATATAGCTATTACTTCCTGAGGTAGAAACAGTTCGATGAGTTTTGGTGGAAACCCTTTGATGTGTATGCTAAAAAGTAGGCGGAGCGAAGGGGAGAATTTTTTAGGACTAGACAGCGCAAGACTGACTGACTGGCTGGAACAGCCTCTTGAGAAGTACCATGACACAATGCCACGTTTATAACTGCTCCAGACATCACAAATGGGGTCGGAGGGAGCAGTCTCAAGCTCCAACTCATCATAATATCAAGGCTTATAAAGATGCTCCAGCAATTGCCAAGACCAGACCATCTTTCCCTCGCAGAGTTGTGGGGTCCACTTCCAACACCCTCCCCTCCCCGAATATGCTGAAACGCTCGTGCGCATCACCTTCACTTTCTAAGGTGGCAGACAAGCACAGACAAGCAGTGACGTACAACTCACTTCGAACAATCCTGACTCCCTAGAAACAGTAAAGGTGCTCCCAGGGCATCCTGCTAGGGCCAGAAAAATCTCATGCTGCATCTCGACTCTTCGCGCTCCACGTGCCTGAGAGAGTACGTACGTACGTATAACCACGCCCCCTGTACCACGCCTCTATACGCCTTCTCCCGCGCGCGAAAGTCCGCGCGTGCATCTGTACGTGTGCGTGCGTGTGTGTGCGTGCGTGTGTGTGTGTGTGTGTGTGCATTCATGTGCGAATGTCTCTCTCTCAGACTACCATAACCTCGACAGTCGTGTTTGCTGTTGCTACCTGCCTCAAACTCTTACTGATACCATCATAGTAAGTAAGCATGAGGTCTTATGGCTAATTTCCTGTACAATGGGAGGGGGTTGTGGTGATAATCATCCTCTGCTGTGAAAGTTTTTATCCCTTTGTGAAAAAGTGAGGTGTCTTTGGCTTTTGATTCTCCCTCTCATCCCTCTTACTACCTGTATATCCACATACAGTGCTCTTTTGTAAATGAAGATTGCGTGACAGTGATTTTTTGGCCAGTGGTGTATTAGATTGGGGCTGATTCACACAGGTGTGACCTGCTCATGTGTGTTATCCACCACAACCCATATTATTGCCGCCACTTGGTTTACCAACCTGTATAATGGAGTACACTCTCTACAATTAAGCGTTAGAAGACCCAGTGAGGGAATAGATAGCATGTATGCTGCCCCATACTGGACCAAAAAAGAGCTGGTAGATGAGTTGATATTCCCATTATTTTACTCACTAGAGAGCATACGAAGTTGCTGGGTGCAATCACAAGGTCGAACTGATAAAGCATATGGTGCTCCTACATTTAAGAGTGAAGCATTCGAGAATTACCATCATCAAGTACAAAACTAAAATAGGTCTTACTGAATGCCTGCACACAGCTTTGTACTTGTACTTCACTTGTATCAGAATCATCGACAGTTCTATGCTCTAACAGCTTGTGTGCGCAACCACTTATGTACGTGCTTTACTTGATCCTAGAAATATACAATTAGACAAGTTGTGTGTGTGTGGTGATCACAACACCAGATTTGTATGTACAAGGGGAAGTTCTTGCAACCACTACGAAGTACTAAAGTGTGATGTCCCACAAAACAGTTGCTGTAAAACATCTTGCTTTAATGTTTCACTTAGTCACTCTACAGACTTTGAAGTGCACAGAAATTGGTTGGCACTGACACATTCGTTGCCACCTTCTGAATGGTACTATGAGGTACAGTCTATTTTGGAACTAGTATTTACTTATGTACATTGCTCTACTGTAACATTCCAGGAAACATCAAAGTGGACACTGGACTACCCTCCTTTCTTTGCATGGTTTGAGTGGGTGTTGTCTTGGCTTGCTGCTGTGGCAGATCCAAACATAGTGAAAATTGACAACCTTGATTATGGAGCTCCATCTTGCGTCCTTTTCCAGAGAATATCTGTGATAATGAGCGACTTAGTACTGCTTTATGCAGTAATTCAGTAAGCAAATTGACTCAGAAATAAGAATCAGGCTCTTCTTCCTCTTTGCACACTTAAGTAGTGTGCATATGAGGGTAAGCGTTTAGGCTGAAGTATGTGTGAAAGGGGTTCATCTATGCACTAAACGGTCGTGCTTCAAAATCATATTCTCTAGGTACTGTAAATGGAAGAAATTTGATGGGGACCTGCAATCTTTTGTAATATCAGCACTGGTGCTACTGAACACTGGGTTGCTTTTGGTAGATCGTATCCTGCCCTGCAAAAAATTGTCATAACAGTAGCATACAAGATACATACCTTAACTCTGGATGTCAGATATTCACTTCCAATACAATGGGTTTCTCTATGGCATCTTACTATTGTCTATTGTGAAGATGTTGCAGGTTTGTTAAGACAGTGAAAGTGTAAAATTCTTTGCCAGGTTCTAGATGCAACGCTGAGTGCATTATGAGTGGACTAAGCAACCAAAGTCTAGCTAAGTGTTCCAATAATGTTTTGTTTTTGGTGACATTACATTTGACCAATCAGCCGAGTTTTCTGCTCTAACTTTCACATTCAACACTACTTTTGGCTTTGACTTCTAAATTTATTTTGTGGACATGCATTATTATTTTCTAGGCCATACTTGGATTTTTGACACTTAAATGTGCAATGCAAAACCGGCAGCAACCGGTTCTTGGGTATGCATAGACCGACGACCATGTAGGTGCAATTAAAGCTACGCACACTTGCAGATTTACTTTAATAGATGTGTATGATTATCAGGTGACAAGAAATGGATTGTGCTTACGAGAGAAGAAATGAATGTTTCTATATATACATTCAGGATCACATGTTAATGATGTGCATGGGACCTAAAATAGTTTGTGATCAAAGCAGTAGTAATTGCATTGGCAATAAATTATTACAATCGAGTTATTTTGTATCACTTTGTTCCCAACATATGAACCATGCAAGCAAAAGCATGTACAGGCAGCTGGACTGTTTGCATTGCTCCTCAATCTAAAGCACATCTACATTTACGTGGCTCCAGCTTTCTTCGTTTATCTTCTCAAGCACCACTGCTTTTCATCAACTACCAGTGGTACATAAAATACGGAAGCACATTGTTTTATATTAGATGATATTTCCTGACACAGGTTCGACTCGGCGTTTTTTACATGTCAAATTTATTGAGCTTGCAGCAGTTGTTGTGTGTATATTTACATTGAGCTTTGGACCGTTCATTTATTACGTAAGTTTACTGGCCAACCTTTACACCTCAAAGGACATGATCTGTCATCTCTATTCCATTTTGCATTATTAAATAATGTATTCAGATAGCCCATGGTAGGTATAAGTGTCCTTTGTGAGTACATAGCGTGTATCCTCTTCTACTACAGTTGTATGTTATTCTGGCCAGGCTTTGCAAAGGACAGAAGATACTGGCTGCTCATGGCTTTGTTGGGGAGGGGATAGATTTGTGCTGATGATGATAACATCTATGATTATGGAAAATGTCGTTCTTCAGTGTGGATGTGCAGCGAGGGTTACGGTGCTTGGTCTATTACGCACTACAAGCACGAAAGTTGCGTATGAGTGAAATATATTACCCACTGACCAACCATTGAACTAGCTCCATGGCCAGACAGGTTAGACTGCGTGGCATGGCCTGCCCCGTCAATTAGCAATGCTTATGTACGGTTCGGCTCAAATACACCAACCAACGAGGTTTTGCGCTTTAAATGCTTGTCATTTTTGTTCATGCCATCTGTTACAATGTTTTGAGATTGTGCTTTATATTTTACAGGGTCAGTTATCACAAGTACTATCCCGGCTTTTTCCTTTCAAGCGTGGCTTATGTCATGCCTACTGGGCTCCCAACTTCTGGACTTTGTACAGTGCATTGGATATACTCTTAGCAACCATTGGTATGCCATCAAAGCATATTATAACAAGTAAATAAAAATTCTGCGAATTAAAAAAGTATGGAATATAGGGATACCATAAAAAGCAAGGAGACAAGACAGGGATGACCTTGGCATGTGATGCAGTAGTACAATGGGATGATTGTTACATCTTCAAACTGACATTTCTTGCTCATGTAAATTTTACTCCACACAGCCCTATATTGTCGCCACTCTTACTCATGACATGATTTTTGAATAGTGTAGTGTGAAGACTGGCAAACGAATTCTGTAGGGAAAGCAGCATTGTAAAACCGGTTAGTTCAGCGAACATTGAAGTAAACACAGTCACAGTTCAAAACTGAGGACCTGGCATTTGCTACCAGTCTTACGTGCATAGGAAACGAGTCATAGCTGCACATCATATGATAGGGATCACTCGTGCTTTGCGACCATATAGGGCTTGTGTGGAGTAAAATTTACATGAGCAAGAAATGTCAGTTTGATGATGTAACAATCACCCCATTGTACTACTGCATCACATGCCAAGGTCATCCCTGTCTTGTCTCCTTGCTTTTTATGGCATCCCTATATTCCACACTTTTTAATTCGCAGAATTTTTTTTCCTTTCCTTTTTTACTGCATGCACATGCATTTGGGCATATTGTCTATATAAAAAGTAACATGTACTTATTGCCTCGGACTCTTAGTCGTCATCTACATTTTTATTTCACTTCCAAAGTAGATAAGTGTACAAGGTTATAGGAAAACATCATTGAACTGACATCGCTTGCTCGTGTAAAATTTCCTCCAAACAAGCCCTCTATTGTCGCAAGGTGTATGAGTGTGTTCGCTTGTATGATGCACAGCTATGATTTATTTCATAAGCCCATTAGACAGGCTCGGTTTTCAGTAGTGACTGCATTGTGTGAAGTCTATCATTTGCTGAACTAACCAGTTTTACAATGCTGCGTTCATGGCCATCTACATACAGAATCCTTTCACCATTGTCCTCGCACTTCACTAAACAAACAGTAATGGTGGCGACAATGTAGGGCTTGTGTGGAGGAAATTTTACACGAGCAAGCTATGTCAGTTCAAAGAGTGTAGCCATCATCCATTGTACTACTGCATACTAGGTCATCCCTGTCTTGCCTCCTTGCTTTTTATGGCATCCCTATATTACTTTTTAATTCGAAGAATTTTTTATTACTTGTCTCCTTTCCTTTTTTACTGCATTTACATGCATGGTGTGCAATATATTTTGGGCATAAGTGGCGTTAGTGGCCTGTTATCGCCTCAGACGTTTTGTCGTCATTCACATTACATCAGTGCACCAAGTTTCATTGTGAGACGACCAACCATATGCAAGTTAGAGGCACAAACACCATTTATAAGTGTTATTGCCTGAGGAATTTCTGTTTCGATGAACTCTTATCATGGTACATCAGTGTACCAAGTTTCATTGTTAGATGACCCACCATAAGCAAGTTATAGGGACAAACACAGTTTATAAGTTTTTATTGCCTGAGGCTGTTTTTTGTTGTTTACAAACTTGTAATTCATGTTTCATATCATAGTAAATCAGTTTACCAAGTTTCATAGTTAGAGGACCCACAATAAGAAAGTTACAGGCACAAACATCATTTACAAGTATTTATTGCCTGAGGCTGTTTGTTGTTGTTTACAAACTTGTAATTTATATTTCGATGAAACTCTCATCGTTGTAAATCAGTATACCAAGTTTTGTTGTTAGAGGACCCACAATATGCAAGTTATAGGCACAAACATCATTTTATTGCCTGAGGCTGTTTGTTGTTGTTTACAAACTTGTAATTTCCGTTTCGATGAACTATTATCATGGAACATCAGTGTACCAATTTCGTCCCACCATAAGCAAGTTATAGGCAATAGTTCACAAGTTTTTATTGCCTGAGGCTGTACGTTGTTATTTACAAACTTGTAATTTCTGTTTCTATCAACTCTCATCATGGTATATACATCAGTGTACCAGTTGGAGGACCCACCATAAGCAAGTTATAGGCACAAACACATTTTACAAGTTTTTATTGCCTGAGGCTGTTTGTTGTTGTTTACAAACTTGTAATGTTTATACGTCATTTGATACTAATGATGGGTTGCATGTGTGCACAAAGATTTATCACTCTGGGTATTCGCTTTACCTAGTTATATAGCACACTTTATTTGTCTCTATCATAATGTATTGCCTGGGGCTATTTGTTGTTGTTTACATGTAAACAACATTGTTTACGAACAAATAAAAATGCTCTTGCACGACCTGTCATGGATTCCAATCTTTGTGCAAAGTTTGATCTCCATATCTTGCCTGGTTTTTGAGATACGTTTGTTGAAACTGAGCGACAACAACAACAACAACACGAGAAGAAGAATTTTGAAAACTGACTTTTTTGAATAAATCAATTATCGATTATGCGATTTAAGCCATTTCTTGGATACATGCTCTTTGTGACGATACGGATCAGTCAGATGCGTCAAAAGTTGGACCTGATTAAAATTAAACATGAAATCTCAAAATGTATGGGCATAATGCAGGATGACCTGTGTCATCCCTATATACTAAGTACTACCGTACTTAGTGATAGTGTTTGCTCTAAAGGCCAACATACACTAGGCAAACAAAAGTTGCAGCAACTTTCAAGGTAATTCACGCCTCCTGCAAAAACTACTAACCACGAGTAATTAAGGCCAACATAATAATATGGCCTTGGCCCCTCATCCAATATACTTTGGATGTTGCTTAAACTTTTTGAAGCAATCAAGGCGCCTGGCGCAAACTATTAAAGTTGCAAGTTACGAGCGCCAAACTGTGCATGTGCACAAACAGTGGCTCAAGAACGTACACAACAAAGCAGTGGAGTTCAGCATGTCTTAAACAGCTAGCGAGCCCATCAGCCTGTAGGAACACATTTAGACTTTTCGAACTGCTGCCTGCTGACCAATCCGCATCCTTTACCACCCTACCAACAACTAACTCTGTTGTCAGCCAATTCTAAAAAGTGCTTTTGCGAAAGTGTTGGAGCCACAAATAAAATTAAAAAACACGGTATGCTGTAAGGGTATTTTTACCTGTGCAGGTTTTTCACCGGGGGAGGGTGGTAGTATGACATCAGGTATTGTTGGTGAAATGAAACTTCAAGTTCTACCTTCCATCCCACCTGTTCTAACTTTGATACTCACTGCAACTGCTACAATGGTATATGTCATAGTTCTAAGCACGGAAGGTAGGAGGGTGTGAGTGATGAAAGTACGAGAGGGCATGATCAATAAGGCATGAAAAGCATTCTAAAGCAGCATTGAGTTGTGTTGAAAGACAATCCACCTATGCCTCTAACCGGATTCCTATTGAATGGACCAAGGGACGTGCTTTACAACTTTACAGCGTCTACTTGACAAGGTACAGCACGCCCCTTTCATACCATGTTTGATTTAAAGGCATCAACAGTGATTAAAGGCGGAGACGGGTTGTCTCCACACAACTCTGTGCTGCTATTAAACAACAAGAATGCTGCGCAGTGGCCAAAACGTTGCTGCAACGACACCCAGAAACAGAAAGACAGCTGCTTTGTATGTGGCTAAAGGCTGGTCATTCTGACACTGAATGGCGACTACTTAACGTGGCCCGGCCTAAACCTAGCAGAGCTATGCCTGGTCTTTTGATGCGCCTCTGGTACATATGTACGTGCCCTTCGCTGCGCATTAAAATCCATGCCTGGCAGCCATTTTTACAGCTGCATATTGATACTTTACTCTATGAGTTTTTAGTATTAAAGCACGGAAGGCAGTGTGTAATAAAGGTATGAGGGGGTGTAGTTGAGATAGCCAAGTGATTTATTAGTACCCTTTTAAGCATACAGTATGGGTTGCCATTTGTTTTTTTCTGACATTTATAATAAGGGTGGATATTTTACCGATTTGAGGAAATTTAGTAAATTCCGTTTCATCCACTCTGCCATGCGTGTTTTACTATAATATATATCCCCTCTCTTTTGACACTCAAGAAGGGATAATCCCTCCCTTTCACTGCTTCTCTACAAGTCCACACCTTTCCATAGATTCGCGCCATGGACATTAATTTAGTAAATCCCACCCGGGTCGTGGGGATGCTGGGGTAGCCTCGTTCCCAGGCCCTTTTTGTTTGAAATCCCGCAAAAAAGGTCTGGGAACGAGGCTTATGCTGGGGGGCAGGGGCATGGTTACAACCCTCCATTGGAGGGGTCGATGCGTAAGGGTTGGGATCTCTACGGAAAGGAGCGGCATTTACTATTAATGTCAAGGATGAAGTGACGCGTAAGGATGGGAATTTACTAAAGGAGACGGATTTACTAATAATGTCCATGGAGCGAATCGATAGGAAGGTGGGGATTTATATATAGTGAAGTGGTGAAGGGAGGGTACATATTTACTAAATAGTATCTCTTGTTGAGAGTCAAAAGAGCACTGCTTTGAGTCGCAAGGATGCTCCCCAAAGGCCAGCGCACGACTGTCTAGAGCTAAAAACGCTGCTGGTTGCCATTCATCGTGATGTCTTTGGTGGGAAAGCTACCACATGGCTACATACTGACGTGGCTCACCATTAGCCTCGCACCTCCGCCACTGCAGGTACCCGTCCCTCTCTTCGCAGCCCCCGAAAAGACGTGTTTGACTGCTGTTTGTATATACTACTACAGCATTTGAAAAATGCTGTATAAGCAATACTGTGCTGTATGAGGGAAAGTGTTCTTTTATGACAATGGTGGTACATTTGATCCGCCAATACAGCACTGTCAGTGCCTTTTATCTTCCCACGCACTAACCTAAAATAGTATTAATATTTACTGGTTTTATTCAACAGCCCTCTTTGATGAAACTATGGAAGAAACACAACACGTGTGGTTTAGACTTTCTTCATTGTCTTATTTTGTGTGGATATGCTTCATTCATGTTTGGATGGCATGTTCATGAAAAAGCCATAATGATGGTAACAATGCCGATGTGGTAGGTATTATGTGTATACTACGTGCCAAAATAGATTTTAACCTTCTCTTTTGCAGTTTATTAGCAATGGAAGATGGTAGGCTTTGGAGAATATTCACCATTTTATCAACAGCTGCGCATATTTCACTTTTCCCTTTACTCTTCAACACTGCAGGTATATACAATGTTTTGCTTAGTTATGGACAGCATGTGTACAACTTGTTCGTGAACATTCAGAAGTAACGTATGTATAATGTGTGTGATTTGCTATCCATGTTATATAATCTTAGAGAAATGCACCACATTTTTGGGCGAGCGAAAGGAGCAGTTTCATTCTTCACGCGTTCCACGTATGTTTAGAATCAAGTAGAACATTCCGATACGTATGTTCAGTTCCAAATTCCTACATTCAGACCGCTTGCTTTGCTCTCTAATAACAGCACCCAAGTTTGACATTCATCATCATGCACCCACTGATTGGTGATGAACTTGTCAAAGTTCCGCAGTAGAAGAATTGAAGAAAGTGTGGTGCTGCTATATTGAAGGGAATGTAGCAGTTATTATACGTAAGAGCATAATAAATGGGCAAGTACAAGAATGCAATTAAGTTTACAATTTTTATACCGCCCTTAGAGGGAAAGACAGCCACTCTCACTGCATTTTGATACCAGCAACCCTATGGTCTCCCGCTATGTAAACATGGTTCATTTTGCAACTCTATTTACTATACCAACCTACAGAAAAATTAATCAAAGTCTTCCTTTTTGTGCCGTACATCATGATGGCCCTTACTTCCTCTACGCTGCTAAAAGGGTGAGCAGATAATTGAGTAGCTAATTGTTTAATGCTGCCACTAATTGTTTACTACCATCTCTGCAGGAACCATCTTCTGCAGTGGGAGCTGAAATCACTAGATGTTGTTTATACAGCCGGCTGTGTTCTGGTTCAGATATACTGTCTATTCATTCATGGAGTGGGAGGATATCTGAGCTATCTTGAATTCTTACCACTGTTATTCACATCAGTTACATGTGCATTAGGGGTAACATGGACGTGGTTTCTCACCATAACACTTTATTTAGCAACATGAAACTCTGTCAAACAATAATGTGATGTATGCAGCATAATTAAGCAGTCATGTCACATTAGGCACATTCAAATTCCCGATATCGTTGTTGAAGTCTGACTTTAGAAAGGTTTTTGCCAGCTGAGTTATAATTTTCGTAAGCAACCTCAGCAGCAGGCAAGCATTTACATCCAAATTCATGACATACTTCAGGTCTCCAGAACAGCATTAATAATTGGTCACCCTTCACAATGGAGAGACGTTTTAAACCACACACTCTTTTTTCGAGTAAAGAGGGCGGCTTGCAAACACGAAGACCCTGGATACAGTTTAATTAATTTGCAGAAACACTGCAATCATTTTACTTACCTTGAATGCAGTGAAGTATAATGCAGTATTTCTGCTTGAAAGCTGTAGTGGAGGAGCGTGTGCTGCAAGAAGTAATGCAAAAAATAGCAAAACTACCGTTTTGCAGCACCACATCGTAGACGCTTATCGACTGCTTTCCAGGCTGGCTCTGATGAGTTGGTCAAAGCGCACGCGCAGACGCCAAAAGAAGTCGGCGGGATTTAAGTGGGTGTGGCAAAGAGCGCACGCGTTATGTAACCGAGATCGTAATCGCTAGCAAGCTAGCTACGGCGGAGGGAGGAGACTCAGGAGAGCTATATCTACACCCACTTGCATACTTATTAGCTAGCTAGCTAGCAAGTAGTGTGTATAGTGATGCCGGCCATGCGCGCATGCGCATTTTGCACGCGCACCACACCCGAACACCCTAACACATCACGGCTCTTGCTGTAGAGCTGAAGCTGATCGGAGTGCGTGCAGTGGGAGGCAGGCGTCCAACAAAAAGGAAAATGTATGTGATTAGAATTGCAATTATGGCTATGAAGGCAGCTTGCTTCTTGTAACTGTAATTGGGTCTAGATAAGTCAGGGTGTGCGGTGTGCCCTGCCTGAAATTAGGCTTTATGCCCAACCCATGTCTATCTGTTTCCTATCCCCATCTGACTTGCGGGGAGTGTCTGATCTTTTGTGGGCGAGCCGCGTCCAGTCCCTATTTTGTTGCCTGGTGTGCCACTCTTTAGAAGAATGTTGAACATTGTTGGCGAGCGGGGGCGACCCATCTTGGAATTTGCCCGGGCTGCATAACGCGCCGTCAGCGTACAGCTTTCCTTCCGTGAAGCAAGACAGAGCTGCCTCAGTCTGTCGCCGTTACATGCGTACTGTATAAGCTTATTGCCAGAACGGTGAGCAGAACGGCTTTCAGCTCGTCTGTCGTGGCAGGCAGCTGGCACGGCAGTAGGCTATAGGCAGCGATCGATCGGCGCCAGCGACGATTGCGAAATTTCATTCCGTTTCGAGTATTTAAAACCTTCCGGTATGTGCAGTGCCATGGTGCCCATCACATAATAGTGGAAATATTCAACATTGTTGGCGAGCGGGAGCGACCCAACTCGGGATTTGGCCAATGTTCTGGCTGCATAACGTGCCATCAGCGCAGAGCTTTCCTTTGGTGAAGCAAGACAGATCTACCTGTCGCCGTTCAGCTCGATACGCATGTACCGGCGACAGGTAGATCTGTCTAGTATATTGGCAGAACGGTGAGTAGGTGAGCAGAACGGTACTTACCTTATGCTTTCAGCTCGTTGTCCACCAGGCAGCAGGCATGCAGCAGTGCTATCTGCACGAGCAAGCCTAGCTTTTATTAGGAAGTTCCACCTTCGAACCATAAAGATTGGGAAGAGGTATATACAGTGTCGGTCAGTCACCTAAGATTGCAGCGCATGCCGTCGAATGGAGGAGAGTTCTCTCGCTGGCTAGATCGATGGGCACATACTGCGAGGCAGCGTGTGTGGAAAAAATGTATTTGGAAATGATTTCGGATAAAAAGAAGCACGTAACGAATCCGCGCATGTGCACTTACACGACGTACGAACGATAAATATAAAAATTAATAAATAGAAAAATCGGTCCGTTGCGACGACTAGGTTGGCTCACTCCCGCTCGCCAATTATTATATTACTCGAACGAACAACTAGGTTGGCTCGCTCCTGCTCGCCAATAACAGTGTTGGTTACTCAATAATTGTATTTTCAAGCAATAGGTCCTGACTATTGTAATGTTGAATGTTTAATACTTAACCTAGGCAACAACAGGGATTGTGTGATGGGGTCAGGGGTTTAAGTGTGCTCAAATCTGTTCGTTAACTACGCTTCATGTACATATCCCATCCCTATCTTGTCTCCTTTTATACCATCCCTATTTGCCTCTTTTGCAGGATTTTTAATTCACTTGTCTCCACTCATTTTTATATACTACTACGTATATCTCTGTGAAAGGGGGCAAGCCGTCGTGACGGAAATGATTTAATACGCATGCATACGAAGTTTCATTTCGATGCATGCTACCGTTCACAAGTTTGAGGAGTGAATAAGTCATTATGTTGTGGTCGTCATGGTAGCGATTTAATACGTATGCGAGTTTCACCTCCATGTGTGCTACAGTTAGCAAGTTTGAGGAGTGTAAAAAGAAAAGAAAGAAAATTGCCGATATTTGGTCGGCATGAATACGCATGCATACTAAGTTTCATCTCCATGCGTGCTCTTGTTAACAAGTTTGAGAAGTGAAGAAGTAATTTTAAACAAAAGTGCCTGAGGCTGTTTTTTGTTGTTTAAACAATATATAGTTGTCATGGACACGATGAAATGTGCATGCTTACCAAGTTTCACCTCCATGCGTGCTCTTGTTAACAAGTTTGAGAAGTGAAGAATTTTAAAGAAAAGTGCCTGAGGCTATTTGTTGTTGTTCCAGCAATGTAGGGTTGTAATGGTATTATGCATGCATACCAAGTTTCACCTCCATGCATGCTAGCAAGTTTGAGGTGTGAAGAAGTAGTTTTAAATAAATTTGCCTGAGGCTTTTTCAAACAATATGCGGTCGTCATAGAAACGTGTAGTTGTCATGGAAATAGGCATACATACCAAGTTTCATCTCTCTGCGTACTACCATTAGAAAGTTTGAGAAGTGAAGAAGAAAATTTAAAAATGTGCCTGAGGCTGTTTGTTGTTATTACAAACGTGTATTGTTGTGATTTTGATGTTGGTTATTGAATACATTATGTCTACAAAGTTTCGTTCACATTATAGCTCTTACCATTTGTGAGTTACACTGACACATGTATGCCCATGATAATGTATTGCCCAGTATAGTGTATTGCCTGGGGCAATTTTGTTGTTGTTTACAGTAAACAACATTGTTTACAAACAAAAAAGTATGACATTGCACATGCGGTTATCAGGGGCGTAGCCAGGAATCGAGGTGTGGGGTTTCCCGCCAGCATTGCTCAGGTGCGTAACTACGTGTGGTTGCGTGTACGTGCGCTTGCGCACAGGTGTGTCAACAACGCGGGTGGAAGACGAATATTTTCATGTGAGAAAAGTGAATAAAAGTCACTGAATGTCAGTTATATAGGCATTGCTCACCGGCCGTCTGAGGTAAAAAGCCGAAAGCGGACAGGCACTTCATCTCTCACCTCGCAGCTCCAGTCACAAGTGCGCACGCGAATGTAGCAATTAAGACCACGCCCATTTTTTTCCGATCAAAGGGGGTTTCCGGGCAACGTAGGAAACCACATAGCTACGCCCTTGGTTATCGATATGTACATTCCTACAAAATTTCATGTCTTTATCTGTTTTGGTTTTTTAGTTAAGAAGAAGATGAAGATGAACAAAACTCCCTATCATAGCCCCATGCATCTAGGTACCATGCCCATCCCTATATCTACTACTGTAAAGCCTGAAATATTGGCGGCCATTATATTTAGCGTTTTACTCAGACTCCACATATTGGCGGCCATTAATATTAGCGTTTTGTTACTTGTGGTTAACTTTGACCTCCTATAGAAAAAAGTTTGGTGGACTGTTAATTTCTGAACGCCAACATTCGCTAAATTTAATGGAGCGCGAATATTTCCGGTTTTACAGTAAGTACTTGTACTTAGTGGTAAGTGTAGCTTGTAGTCCGACTTCAAACAACGAGGTGCTAGGAATATACGCTGTATTCTGAGCTGTGGGCTGAGGGCTGCACTGGTATCGTCCTGGACAGTCCTTAGATCACTGGAACGAGTCACTACGAGGTTTGAATAACGCGAGGGTTTTCAAACCGAGGAGACGAGTTCAGTGGTCTAACCGGCTTAGAACCGCGGCACGGAGAGCGCAGTTTCGATAGTGTGCAAGACCCGTTACCCAGTTGGCTCTGCCCGCCAGAATTTTGGCTGGGAAACGGCGATGGCCCATTAGGCTTCGAGACTGCCGCCGAGCAGGACGAGTTTCACTACGAGGTTTGAATAACGCGAGGGTTTTCAAACGCGAGGAGACGAGTTCAGTGGTCTAACCGGCTTAGAACCGCGGCACGAGAGCGCAGTTTCGATAGTGTGCAAGACCCGTTACCTAGTTGGCTCTGCCCGCCAGAATTTGGGCTGGGAAACGCGATGGCCCATTAGCTTCGAGACTGCCGCCCGAGCAGGACGAGTTCATCATACAAGCATCGCAGCAACTGGACGGATATATCCTGCAACCCCCGCCGGAGCAAGACACGGCCACTGGAGCGCTCAGCCCGCGTCGCTTGATCTGGACGATTTGTTTGTTTCCGGTTTTACAGTAAGTACTTGTACTTAGTGGTAAGTGTAGCTTGTAGTCCGACTTCAAACAACGAGGTGCTAGGAATATACGCTGTAGTCTCTGAGCTGTGGGCTGAGGGCTGCACTGGTATCGTCCCTGGACAGTCCTTAGATCACTGGAACGAGTCACTACGAGGTTTGAATAACGCGAGGGTTTTCAAACCGAGGAGACGAGTTCAGTGGTCTAACCGTCTTAGACCGCGGCACGGAGAGCGCAGTTTCGATAGTGTGCAAGACCCGTTACCCAGTTGGCTCTGCCCGCCAGAATTTTGGCTGGGAAACGGCGATGGCCCATTAGCTTCGAGACTGCCGCCGAGCAGGACGAGTTCACTACGAGGTTTGAATAACGCGAGGGTTTTCAAACCGAGGAGACGAGTTCAGTGGTCTAACCGGCTTAGAACCGCGGCACGGAGAGCGCAGTTTCGATAGTGTGCAAGACCCGTTACCTAGTTGGCTCTGCCCGCCAGAATTTTGGCTGGGAAACGGCGATGGCCCATTAGCTTCGAGACTGCCGCCGAGCAGGACGAGTTCATCATACAAGCATCGCAGCAACTGGACGGATATATCCTGCAAGCCCCGCCGGAGCAAGACACGGCCACTGGAGCGCTCAGCCCGCGTCGCTTGATCTGGACGATTTGTTGTTTGTTGTTTGTCGCTAGTCAGGCGTTGAAATCAGCTACATGTACATGGAACGAACGCTCTACCCTGACTAGCGACCAACAACAAAGCGTCCAAGCGACGCGGACTGAGCGCTGCGATGCTTGTATGATGAGCTCGGCGGCAGTCTCGAAGCTAGGAGCAAATGGGCCTTCCCACTCCTCAATTATTATGAATTTGA